ATTACAGTTAAGCCAGGAATTAATATTTACAATATTATCATTAATAACTTGTTCCATGTCCAAAACACTCTTGTTTGTACAAAACAGATTAGAATCGTCAGCAAAAAGATGAAAATCGAAAACCTTTGAACCATTATTGAAATCATTCATATACAGAAGAAACAACAGTGGGCCGAGTACAGATCCTTGTGGGACACCACAAGGGACAACAAGCTCGTTGGATACTGAACTTCCTATGGATACAAATTGTTTTCGATTTTCTAAGTATGAAATAAACCAATCTTTTGTTATTCCCCTTATACCATAATGCTCAAGTTTAGTTATTAATATTTGGTGGTTAACAGTATCAAAAGCTTTACTTAGATCCAAAAAAATTCCACAAGAAAACAAACCATCTGTAATATATTAAGGTTCATATTAGCATAATTTATGCATATCCCATAATGCTGTGTGGGAATAAAAGAAGTGTGTTGTAACTCGACCACGTTGTTTGTTTTGCTTATATTCTTATACTAAAACAAGTCTCAGTATACTACACCATCCTCAATTGCTCTTTGGATTTTATCGGTAATCGATATGACTGCTTGTACTGTAGAGTGCTTTGACCTGAATCAAAATTGTCCCTTATAAAGAATTTCTCTTCTTTCAATATAGTTAGTTAACCTTTTACACATCAATTTTTCTAATAATTTATTAAAAATTGATAACAGGGAGATTGGACGATAATTGTTGACACAATTTGAGAACCCTTTTTAAATATAGGAATTACACGTGCTGACTTGAAGCTTTCAGGCACTACTCCAGTTACAAATGAATGATTAAAGAGTACTTCTAATGGTTTTGATAAATATGTACTAAGTATTTTAAGTAATTTAATTGGTACCGGGTGGCCCAAAAAAAAGTACTCCTGTTTGATTCGTAATAACATCTAAACAAGTATAGCTTTTAAAGAGAAATAACTTGCATCAAATAGAGGAAGGACTAACTTAGACTTTGATATATTACAGTTGTATTTCACTTAAAAATTCACGGAGATATTAATCTTTAAATTCGGGAGGATATTTCTGGATGTGTCTGAAATATGCAAAAATCGGCGTATCAAATATTAATCAAGATTTGCCCGACTGAAACATGCACTATTACCAGTAAATAAATGACACTTGACAAATTGTTTATTATGAAACAAAGTATTATTATATCTACAAAATACAAGCAAGATTCATTCGTCCGAAATTCGCGTGTGTTCCTAGCACGAATGCGTTTCCTTATTTCATGAGACCACTGCATCGCGAAGGATCGTCATTGGATCGTTCGTAGTTCTGAATTAGGGCATGCTGTCACAACGGAATTGTGAAGCTCTTCTAACTTCTGCAACGTTCTGAAATCTTGTTAAGAACACGTTAAGAACTCCCAAACTCTTTTGCCGTTTCTTAATCTTGGCAAGTTCATGGAGTAAACTGAGAATTATATGAAACACAATCAAACCATACAACTCCATAAGACATAACAATTAAGCAACTCCCCAGAGACATGCAACATTTTTGGAACAAAACGTAACAAAATAGTAGCGTTGATACGGTGATGTGTATTTGCAAAAAGCAATATTATTTCCTTCAATAAAGAATATTCATCCTGCTCTAACCGAGAAATAATCTACTCAGTCTGTTTGAACCCATTAAAAACATAAAAAAATTAGGCTGTTTAAGAATACGAAAAATTTAAGCGCCTGCCTTCCATGGTCAGTCTTTCATGTACATTTAAGTTTGCAAAGACCTAATATTAAATACTTGCATAATTTCGAACGTTCATATTTCAGGAAACAATGAGCTAAGACTTACATGTAAGATGTCTAAATCTGCGCCATATCCCTTACAAACCTTAACGATAATTCGCTGAAATACAAGTTAGCCTAATATGTCATTAAGCAAACAAACGCTGGAGTTAATATTTGATATGCCGATTTTCGCTAATTTTAGACACATTCCAAAATATGCTCCCCATTTTTATAATTAATATCTCCGTGAATTTTTAAGTTAAATACAACTGTAATATATCAAAATCTAAGTTAGTCCTTCCTCTATTTAATGCAAGTTATTTCTCTTTAAAAACTTTACTTGTTTAGAAGTTATTACGAATCAAACAGGAGTACTTTTTTTTGGGCCACCCGGTATTGTATACTGATGCCGAGGAGCGGAATTAATTCAGTATTATAAGGCTGTGTTACACGAAATATTTTCAATAACGATTCACAACGCAACGGTTTGCCGAACCAATGAAATTCCGTGTAACCTTATTTGCACTGCGAATCATTATCGAAAGTCAGCCACGTCGCGATTAATGCCCACGGCGGCCAAATTAAACAAATCCATTCAATAAATTATTGCAAAAACACATGTCGCGTATTATCTATATAAAGACGGGATTTGATCACTTTTATGATTAAGAAGAGTTTTTTACAGAGTCAATCGTTAGAGTATACTAATTGTCATGATTTCAAACGTATAGCACTATAGGCGTTGTGTATAGAACACGTAAAAATCTCTGCTGTTGTTTCTTGTTGTCTTTTTGTACTTACAACTTTTTAATTTTAATTGCTTTTTTCAATTTTAATTTCGCGTCCGATCTTTATCTGCATGATATACAAACTCTCGCCTTCGGCTCGTGTTTGTATGTCAGATAAAGATCAGCTGCTCATGTTTTAACTAATACTATATCTGATTACCTGTGCTACAATTTATCATCTGAGTTTGTTAAAAGAACTAACATTATATAGTTGAGAAATTACAAGGAACTCTCAGCCTGTGCCTGAGGACACACAGAGGACTTTTCACTACCGTGTTGTTTCCTTATGGAATGGTTTGGGTACTAAGAATGTAAGCTAAAACTTAGCAAGAGGTTCTCAAACGAAACTTTAGGAACACAATTTTAACTGTACTGTGCTGCTACCCTCTTTCAAGAAAATTGTAAAAATAATAACAGCATTCTGTTATGTCCATGCCTAAAGCCATGTGGGCGTTCAATCATTCATTTATTTTTGTCATTGTTGATTTGTTGTACAATGTTATTGTATTAATTGCATCCTGTAGTCGCGTTCCGGGGGCCGCTTGTACTGAAAAAAGTATATCTAAATATAGTTAGTGCAAAAGTCAACCAATAAGAATCGCATATTTTGGCGTTAACTACAATTTAACTGCGAAGCCAGCAGTAAAAAAGTAGTTAATCTTGAAGTGCCAGTGTAGGGAATGTCGATAATATGAACAAGCTTTCGTTGGTAGAGATGCAACTACCTGAAAAATATAAGCAGAATCTCGACGTTTCGAGCGAAGGCCCTACCAACGTAACAGACAGTTAAAAATTAGTTCAGAGTTTTGCAATAACCGGCTCCTACTAGCCACACGTCCCTAAAGCCCGGATGAAACGAGGGTAAGAATAATGAGAGTTGACAGTCACGCGATCTTGGTTAGCTGTTCTTAATGCTTTCCCAACACTATCATGTATTTTATTGAAGTTAAAACATAGTTGAAACACTCATCAACCTTTATTTTGTTAATCTCGAGCTTGAAATGCCCCTGTAACAATGAGGGACTGCAAACTCTCATCAACTCTCAATCTCATTAATATGATTATTGAGACGGGCCAGGTTGGTCAGATTCAATAATAACCTACTGTTCAGCACCAGTGAACATAATAATAACTAATGAGGATTTTATAAAAAAATAAAACATAATGAGGATTTTATAAAAAATGAAACAGCGTTCAAAACAATAAAATATGCATTAAGGTCGCATGATGTACAAAATTATCAAATTATCTCGTCTGTATAGTAATCCTTTTCCTAATTTCCACAGCCCTCATGCCTTGCACAATTACCGGTTAGAGGTTGCGTGAAGGATTATACTATCTCACGTGGACAAGATGACAGGAAAGATACGAATAGCTTATATATTTGCAAACACATCATCTCTTGTGCTTGATAGAGAATCACCAAGTAAATAACCAAACATTTTGTTGTTTGTTTTTCAATGTATAGATAACACTGCGTGTATTTATTTTACAAAACTTTCGAGTGCGGATCCTCATCACTGCTGAAAAGACCTTTGCAGTTGCTGTCGCTTTTACTGAGAGAGATTCTTCTTATCAACGGTTGGCCTGCCATTTATACAGAACTTTTTCATCATCATGGCTGTTGACACCCAATTGCAAGGTGCTATTTGTATGTTGACCGTTTCCTTAGGAATTCTTGGAAATATCCCTGTCATCCTGTCTATATTTCGAAAACGAAGCCTGCTGAAAAATAATCACTATTATCTCATTCTCCATTTGGCAATTTGTGATTTCCTCTACTTATTCCTCTTCACACCAGTAATCTACTCCACGTTAAATGCCAGCCCCATGATTACTTCAAGCTCCTATCTTCTCTGCAAGATCTGGTGGCCAGCGCACACGGTGGTTTTCACAGCCGGTGGACATTTTCTTGTCTTAATCTCCATACTTCGCTACCGCGCAATTGTACACCCTCTTAAGCCTCCTGTACGCCGGAGCACTCTGAAAATACTTTCAACGTTTGTCTATGTGTTGGCAATAATCTATATCATTCCATACGTCCTGGTACTTGAATTGAATGGAAGCTGCGAGGAAGAATGGCCTGTGGAATCACTGAGCATTGTCTACACAGTGTTCCTAATAGGAATTCAATATTTTATCCCAGTTGTGATCCTATCTATTATTTACTACAAGATATGTAGGAGACTCATAGCACGCAATAACACGATGAAAACAATGGATGCCCGAAACCAGACTGGGCAAAAAAACTCGAGAACATCGTTCAAAGATATACGGAATATAAAAACCTTCTTTGTTAGTTTTACCATCGTCGCATGTTTCACCGTCTCTGCATGTCCAATGCAAGTCATGTGGATTGTCGCAGCGAGCAGTTCATCGCCGAGCATACCATTGGGGTTTTATGCCTTGACCATGTTTGGAACATCGGTCATTAACCCGTACGTATACGGAGCATTGGATATGAAAGTATTTTCTTTTTTTAAACCATGCCGAAAAAGATGAGAATGCCTGTGTGTTTTTATTGGGTATCCAAGGAATTCAGTGGTCATATCACGAAAACCTTTGGTTTCGATTCCCGGTTACATACGTAAAAATCTCACAACTTGTCAACAAGATGTGTTCGCCTTGCAGCAAGCAAGCAAGCTGTAACAATGTTGTTATTTCATCAAGTTGCTATACAAAATTGCGACTCACAACTTGTTGACAAATTGTTGAATTGCAAGATGATAACAAGTTGTTGGAACAACTTGTAACAAGTCTGTTGAGCTCAACAACAACAACAACAACAACAACAACAACAACAACAACAACAACAACAACAACAACAACAACAACAACAACAACAACAACAACAACAACAACAACAACAACAACAACAACAACAAATTTCGCTAGTGGAAAACCGACTTCATTGCCTCTTTTATAGAACAGTATAATAAGCAACAACAACAACAACAACAACAACAACAACAACAACAACAACAACAACAACAACAACAACAACAACAACAACAACAACAACAACAACAACAACAACAACAACAACAACAACAACAACAAGCTGTTGACAACTTGCCAACAAGCTGGGAACAGGCATTGCAAACACATCTTGTTGACAAGTTGTTGCAACAGCATTCTACAAGCCTAGTGCAGGTTTGTTACAACTTGTGCGTTTTACATGTGTAAGGCATTCAAGAATTATAGGCAAGTGTTATTTTAATGACAGATGCAACAAGCTAGAGATATTTATGAGATAGATTGTAAAGATATTTATGATGCAGGTTAAAGTTCCAAAAGGTTCTGTACTCAATGAGTTTAATAATACTGTTAGATGTAATACTTGAGCACCGTTCTTAGAAAATACATTTACAGCATTGTCTATGAAAGAAACAAGTAAAATATCGAAATTCTTCACAGTGTGGAACCATGGATTGAACAGTGTAGAACCATTGATAGTTAATTAAGATAGTTAAAAAAAGTAATTTTATGATCCGTGGTAGAACTAATAGATCAATCTAGTATGAATATATCCTAATATGGATAAAGTTAATTCAGTTAATAAAGTTAGTGTTTTAATGTACTAACATTCTAGATATGATGTCACAAATTATGCACAGGTACTCCAAGTAGTTCAACTAACTACAGTGTACATTTTATCAAATAAACTGATGTAAGATTGTAAACATGATTGTAAAATGAGTTATCTTTGAAAATTTGCATCTCTTAGAAAACCTTATCATGAATTTAGTAACTTTGAATATGCAAGAACCAAGTGGGTGAGCATCTCTTAATTGTTATTTTCTGCTGGCTGAGGTATGAGGCATAAAATGTTTTCTCACACAAGGCTGCAAGCCCAGTTGTGAATCAGGTGTAAATGGGTGGCGCAGGTTAAGTCAGCACATGTTGTTGTTGCTTCTGCAAGCTTGACTAAAGTTTTTTCACAATTCACTCTGCATTTATTCAAATTTATTTGTGATTCTTTTGAAGGCTTGAGACATATACATGTAATAAGAGCACCAGTTTACTACTCAAAAGGCATGCTAGTGAAGTCAAAGATCATGACAGCTCAAAAAGCCTTCAAATTTGCCAATCAAGAGAGAAACAAGTGCGACCATCATGGTAGTGGTGACTGAAGTGACCAGCGTGCCGAAGAAGAGAAGTGTGTATGAACAGAGACAAGGAATGCAACAGAGAAAGGTCTTGACCCTGAAGATCACAAGTGCTGCTTGATTACATAATATATTTGGTAACTAGCTCATAGTTATTGCTCACTCATGACCTCGCTTTCACTTGATGTATGCAATGGTGGCTATGTTTTTAAATCTCTGAATTTACATTCACTGTCAAATTTTTGTACTGTATGCCATTTAGACATACTAAAATACTAATAATACACCAGCTGCTTCCCCGAAAGTCATCATCCCAAAAGTCATCATTCCATAAGTCATCATCCCAAAAGTCATCTAGTGCAATTTTCTTCTCCTGATGGATGTGAACAAGTGGACAAGTTAGGAATGTTTAGATGAGGGTGCATATACTTAGAGCATTCATAACTTATTTACTCGTTCACATCCATCAAAAGAAGAACACCACACTAGGAATCGCAGAACAAATTGCAAGTGTAAACAGACATTTATGGTACATAGAATGTGTATTTGGTACAACAGTGTAACATACAAACTTTCTAGTTTGGGATACAATGCTGCAGTGAAACAATGGTAACTTTATTAAACCATTAACTTTATTTAAACATTAGGGAGGTTTAGCAAAGACGAGGTGAAAGTGGCGTGGCACATCCATAAATGGCAACATCACACCATTTTCTCCTCGGCGGCATCTTAGCTAAACCTCCTTTTGATTGAATTATAAGTTTATTCACGTTTCTGTCAACTTGTCTTTCGTTTAATATTTAACAAATATAAAACATTTTCCGTGTTGATATACAGTTATATCAACACAAGTGGAAATTGGGAAAACGAGAAATTGTGTGGAAACACGACGCCCGAAGGGCGGAGTGTTTTCACATAATTTCAAGTTTTCCCAATTTCCACGAGTGTTGATATAACTATATATCAATACGGAAAAAATGTTTTATATTTGTTTTATAATATAGCACAAAGAAATATAAAGAAAGAAATTTTCCGACGTTTCCGTGTTGACATTGAGTTATATCAACACAGCTCTTAGCCAATCAGCGTTCAGAATTTACAAATGCTATATTATAAACTGTAATAATAATAATAATAATAACATGTTAAATTTTTTTTTGTCCAACATATTAAAAAGTCCGCATGAAGGCATTTCAATTTTCCATGCAGGATGCTACACAAGTATTGACCAATCAAATTGCGTGTTTCACTGTAGTTCATCTCAGAACTGTGGACACTTATACAAGCTAGACAATTTAAACTAATATAAAATTAAACAACATCTCTCAATATGTCCAAAAACAAGACAATCTCACATAAGGAAAAGAATCAACATTATTTTCTGATATAAACTGCTGCTTGATCAGCATCTGCTGCATGATATTACTTTTAGGACTTTATACGGAAACCCATCTTTCCGTGAATTTCTTGAAAATGAAAATACGACAATTTCCTTACCTTTGCGGCCAAGTCAAAATAAAACCGATCAAATTCCCAAGATCTTCCTTGTCAAATTCCTTCCTACCATTTTTATGTGCTAAGAAAAATCAGGAATTAAACACAATAACAAAAAGCAGGTAGTATTGGCCTGGTATCAGTCCAGACAGCCGAACACGTCAAAACAAAATTAACAAACGCAAGCACTCACTTTTCTCTAAAGTTGCGAGAATATCACTGCAACAATCAGGCATTTTAAAACCTCCAGAACACGAATAGCATATCTAGCTGTGACTGCCTTTCCCGATTACAAATCGCAGAGAAATCCAACGCGTTTATAACGTTAAAATGGCTGGTAAAATTGCAGAATTGTTGAAAATAATGACTTCATCTCCGCCATGTTTTTGACAATTGTTTGAGCGTGTGGAGGATTGGGCTGAATGACAATTTTTTCTCGAATTTTCCAACTCGAAAATTATTTCCAGCGAAAAATGAATAAAAATCCAAAATGGCGCAGGGTACAGGTAAAATTTTGAAACTTTTTCACTTGTTTTCACAGGTTTTACACGATAATATACAGTTCTTTTGCATTCTAACTATCCCTGGTAATTTTGCCTTGCTCAATTAATGGTTTTGTCTGCATTTCTAACTTGTTTAGGCAACGGATTTGGCCAGTATCATTGTAATTACTGTCAAGCGGACTGTACGACACTCCGTGTGAAATGCGCAGAATGTCAAGATTTTGACCTCTGTGTTCAGGTTTGAAAGCCTATCACAACATAAAGTTGAAAGATAGTTCATGTGTTCGTCCCTATTAAGCAAAAATTTACAAAATTTAAATTTTGTAGTGTTTCTCATCCGGGGCCGAGATGGGCGGACATGAAAGAGATCATAATTATCAGTTAATTGTAAGTCGATTAAGTGTAGACATTAGGCTGTTTAGAGTGTAATATGTTGTTGGAGACAACAGAATTTCTTTGTTTTACCCCAGCTAATATCCACCACCCACCCCTCCAGGTTTTCCTCTGCCACGCCCTTTTTTGAGAGACCCTACCATGCCCATCTTCAAAATATTCGTTCCTTCAAAATACTTGTCCTTCCATCAGGGTGCTTTTCTCATCAATGTCACACCATCATCAAAATACTTGTTTCTTGCCCTCCCCCCCCATCTCCCCCCCAATCTCCCCCCATCTCCCTCCCCCCATCTCCCCCCTGTCAGGATGCTCCCTCCACCTCCTGAAAGATTGTTGGTTTACCACACACCATTCCACAGTATTCTTGATCTTCACCCACACATCCATTCCCAAGGTTTGTGATGCGCATGTTATGACCTCCCCCACTCTAGTACTTTCTCCATTTCAACTTGTGGTGTGCCCCCCATGACTTGTTGTTTTCCTCTCAGGACAATGGCACATTTCCTTTGTTTATGGAGGAATGGAGTGCTGAGGAAGAAATGCTTCTTCTTGACGCTGTGGAACAACATGGTCATGGAAATTGGTTAGAGATTTTAATACTAAACTAGAATTACAATCATGATCACTACTGTCAACATCATCTTTAACACCATTAGTCCAGATTTAATATTAGTGAGGTTCAGATTTGATGTCCACTACCGCTACCAAAATGAAGGGACAATTAGCCAATCAGATGCATTTGATATATCTGATCAACCAATCAGATGTTTACAAAGCCAGTGAGAGGTAGTGGTAGTGGAAGTTCAAATCTGAACCGCTATATTATCAATCAATACCATACTTATCATTTTTCATTACTATCATTTTCAGGGTGGACATTGCAGATCATATAGGAACAAAGACCTTCACAGGTACAATCAATCACTTTTTTATACTTATTAAACCTAAGCATAGGGTGTGCACCCCCCTCCCCCCCAAAAAAAAAAACATTTTGCACCCCCTCAGAAACTTTTCTCACCCCACCGAGAGAAATTTGCACACCACCAGAAATCTCAAAATTTCCAGACCCCTCTGCAGCTTGTTTGGCAGCACTACACACCCCGTCGCTCACCACCCCACTAAATTTTCGGCACCTCCCCACCCCAAACCCCCCCCCCCCCCCCCCCCCGGGCAAAATGTGAAAATCTGTCTATGGACCTACAGGAAGTGTGTAAAATATGTTGTTATTTTTGACTCTAGAAACCCAAGATCATTACAATGGATGTTATATTGAAGGTCATGTTGGGAAAGGTGAAAATTATAGTAATAAGCTTTTGGTAATCATTATCTTTAGTATGCACAATAACTTAAAAATGTGTTTTTTTTAGTTACCATTCCAGAATTTGTGTGTAAGATTACTGACCACACAACAACGTCAACAGGTTAGCAAATTCTCTGTCTTCTGGTGTGAGACAAGGCAGGGGTGGGGAAAATAGGCGAGCACACAAGCACTGCTCGCAGGAAATGTTAAACAGCTGCAGGAAATCCGTTTGAATGAAGATTTGCTGTTGAAAATTTGAAGGAAACCTTATCACCCATGTCCCACTACTGTATATGGGCGCAACAACATACATACGGTTGACAGACATTATTCCTTGAATTTCAAACCATGGTCAGCTAGAACACTATATGTATGTACTGTATGTTTACGCACATGCAGATTTTACTGTCGTTCCAATTGAAGTGTTGCTCAAATATTGATTCAATACATTACCTCGGGCTGACCAATTCATTTGATCAAGTTCCTCGAGATATTCATACACTTCCTAGTATAATTGTAAACTTCCTGTTGAATAGTTTGAATGCACCAATCACCTTTGTTGTTTGTGGAACTAACCAATCATAAATAGAAAGGAAGTGACCAGAAATGATCAAATACTTGGAATTGGCTCTTTCACAGGAAGTGTATGAATATCTCAAGGAACTTGATCAAATGAATTGGTCAGCCCGAGGTAATGTATTGAATCAATATTTGAGCAACACTTCAATTGGAACGACAGTAATAGCACAGTAATAAATATTTTTGTCTCCAGGTTGTGCTCCCAGGAAGAAAAAATTTTTTTCTGCACTGCCCACAGAGTAATTGTGTGTATCACTGTATGTGAGTGATTTTATAAACAAACGATTTTTGTTCCAGGTGAACTCTCACCAACTTTAACTCATCCTCCTGAAACATTGGACATGACTTTGTCAGAGCAACAAGATCTGGGTTACTTGCCATTTCGAGATGATTTTGATAAGGTCCAGACACCTGTACATTTTCACTACATTTTCATTCAGTAAAAATATGATTGATTTATTAAGATCTGAATGTACAGATTGGAATCTTTGCTAAATCAACAAACATGACTTCTTTCCATCTTCAGGAACATGACAATGATGCAGAAACATTAATTAGTAACATTCAAAATTCTCATGAAGATGATGAGTTAGATTCAGGTACGTCTTTGATGTTTTAACTCATTTTCAATCACTGTACACTTGTACAATAAATTATCTTGGCATAATCATTAATGGCTTGAATTGAATCACATTAACCAATGGAGTGGCAGCACTCTCCCCCTGACAAGTAAAATTGTCTGGCATTAGACAGAGTAAAATAATAAATGAGGGTGCATCTTGGCACATTGCCACTTAAAGGGTTAACAGGGTGAATGGGAAGATAGTCTGATTAACCCATTGAGAGGCAGCACTCTCCCTCTGACGAGTAAAATTGTCTGACATTAGACAAAGTAAAATAATAAAGTAGGGCGCATCTGGGCGCATTGCCACTTAAAAAGGTTAAATATGATTTGTGTATTCCAGCTTTCAAACATGCTCTTGTTGATATGTATATTGAAAGACTAAAAGAAAGACAACATAGGAAAACAATTGCCAGAGATCATGGATTAATCACAAGCAAACACAAACTGACAGGTACTATTGTTTAGAACCCTGAAACCAATATTTAACGTACTTGCTATTCTCACATATAATTTGCCACTGTGTAACTTAAATTTCAACTAAATTTCAGCGTCACGACGGAAACTCTCTAAAGAAGACAGGTAAGAGTCTTAACATTAAACATGTAAGCTAGAGTTTGCTCTTTTAAACGTACTAAAGCACTTATCAATGACAATGTTTTACAGAGATTTTCGTGATGCTGCCAGAGTATTTGGCCGTCTTCAACCTGCCGAAGACTGGGAACGATTTCTTAATAACCATACCAGTACGTAGCAATCTCGTTTCCCGAGTCTGTGATCCTCGGGAAGGAACGTGAGGCTCTGGTATAAATGTATAATCCGTTTCAGGGAGGAATCTGATTGGCTGTGGCAACGGACTATCCCAGAGCCTCACGTTCCTTCCCGAGGATCGCAGGCTTGGGGAACGAGATTGAGTACGTAGATATAGCAATGGAGTAACATCTGTTGTAACACACAAACATTGAATATTTTATTTGTGTAGGACAGAGAGAACTGCAATTCCAAATTAAGGAACTTATACGGTATAGGAAGAATGGTGTCACCAAATTATCTGGTAAGGAAACTTTCAAACTAAAGACATTTTAAGATATAATGACATTTGACATTGGTCGCACAGTCATCAGAGCAAGTTCATCTCTGAGATTCTGGGTTTGATCTTAAGATATTCAAGTCAAAAGAATCGATCAATGCTTTGCTGAAATCATGCGTTATCTTTGTGGGTTTTTTAAAGGAACTTTGTTCTTTTACAGGATGTCGCGAATATGATGAATTGAAAATAAGACGTGAAAAATTGAAAGAAAATCGTAAAAAGTTGGTATGTAAACTTGAGCAAGCTATCAAAGACTAATGTTCCACCCAACAAAGCAACTTGAGCAATTGTTTCCTTATATCAACCTTTGTTTGTTTCTATAGGATGCATGTTCCCCAAGGAGAACTAATTCAGGAACAAAGAAAGAGTAAGTCTATGAACTTAGAAACAGATAGATTGCAAGCCTGGAACTGTAGTGGCGGCCCAATGTCTGTCAATTCCCCTGCTCATGTAATGACATTCGCTCAACTTATGCGACAAAACGGAGAAATGAGTCGTTGAATAATTTTTCTGCTATTGAGTTTATGAACAATTTGAAGCCTGAACTGTTAGGTATTTTAAGTCGTGGATGGTCATACAATGATTTCGATCATTGCCTGTGGAAACCATCCGCATTCCTTCATTCATTTATCTTTTTTCCTTCCCCAGCGTCAAAGGCGATAAGAAAAGGATGGAAAAGAAAGGTGGGAAATATATTCTGGTTTTTTGGATGCATCATATATGACATAAACTTCAGTCTTCTGGGGCCGGTTGTTCAAAAACCGATTAGCTTAATCCTAGGTTAACTTCCTAACAGCTTGTTTATAAATTTGGAAATATTTCTTCACAAATCATGTCTGGATCAATAGAAGTTTTCTTTTCTGATATTTTGAAATAAATGGACATGCAGAAATATGCAAACTCAAACAGCGGGTTAAATTTTAACCCTGGGTAATTAACGCTAATCCACCTTTGAACAACCGACCCCAGAATAATGAAATATGTTTCTCGATGTTTAGATTCGCCAACCGCTACCTTTTCCGAACTGGTAAACGGTTATGTGGGATTTGAATTGTTGTCAATTAGAGAGAAACAGGTTCGTCTCGAGATGTATTGATGATGCTTGGATAAGATAAACTCACTTCACTAAAACTGTTTGACTTGAAGGTTTAACTTACTGTTGTTTTCTTAGCTTTGCAATTCTTTACAAATCAAACCTGCGTTCTATTTGACAATAAAAGGCATCGTTTTAAAGGTAGGTTCACAAAGCATTATCAACATTGAACATTCATAACTTATCCACTCGTTCACATCCATCAGAAGACGAAAATCGCACCAGAAATCGCAGCAAAAATTGCATGTGTGAACGGACCTTAAAGGCCTGTTTACACTTGCAATTTCTGCTGCGATTTTAGGTGCGATTTCCTTCTTCTGATGGATGTGAACGAGTGGAAGAATTAAGAATGTTGAGATGAGGGTAGATATACTCAGAACATTCATTCTGATCTACTCGTTTACATGCATCAGAGTCGCACCTAAAATCGCAGCAAAAATTGCAAGTGTAAACAGGCCTTAAGCTGGAGTAATACGGCAACTTGCAACAAAATTCAGATTTTGTTAAGTAGAAATGCGACACGTGTTGCCTCGTGATTTGTCATTTATACGTAAACCTTTTCAATTAACATGCGTAGAAATCCGATTTTGTTGCAAGTTGCAGCAATTTCGTTGCTCGTATTACTCGGGCTTTAACGCTTAGTGAAACAAATTAACCAACCATCCATCCTTTTCAGGATCACTCGTTACGAAGACGTGGAAACACGGTAAAAACACGTTATCCTCCATGCGTTGGTAAATCACAGAGAAAACGTCTCCTGTTATTTTTTAAAGAATGCGGTTGGTTACAAAACAGCTAGGACAAACTCCTACTTGAAGTATATCTTGAAAAATGAATAACGATTGCGATGGTAGATTCGACCTAGGGGTAGGGTTTGTGTTGTGCTGGCCGTGATTGAGGTACAGTAACATACCTTGTTGGAAATAGGTAAGTTCTTAGAAATAGATTGTTATGCACGATTCAAATTTTATTTAAAATGAAAGAACTAGCTTTCCTATGGTGAATATTAAAAGCTTCGTTTTTAAGCAGGTCAGAGGAGAACAACATCTGGTAGTGAGGTTTAGATTTGACTTCCACTACTGCGTCACAGAATAAGAAGGTACAGCAGAAGTGTAACTTGAGTCGGTTCCCTTATTGTTTTACGTCCACGAAAATTTTAACTCGCTCACGCCATCCTGGCTAGTACAACCGGAAGTTTTTATCAGGTTTTGCTAGGTACAAAGTGCCGGTTGTACTAGCCAGGATGGCGTGATTGATGACGAATCGCTTGTAAAAACGCGGACAAATATTTGCTTGAGCGACGCTTCTGCTGTACCTTCTTATTCTGTGACTGCATGCTACATTTCACTGGCTAACTACGCATGTGATTGGTTAATCAGGAAACGTATCTGATTGGTTAATAGTGAGCTTAAGCAAGTGACGTTTTTGTCAATACGGACATCACCCGAAAATTGGTATAACTAATTTTGGCGGCATTTTGCATCATAGCACTCGTGCAAGAAAGCAAAAAACTTTAAAAATCTTATGTTTTGTCATATGTGTTCAAGATTACCACAAACTGATACAAACACAGTTTTTAGTCCAGTCCCCCTCGACAATCTGACGTCCGTGTCGACAACCTAATGAGACCTTACGATTCCATGACGGCAATGGCTACCAATACAATAGATCATTGAAAAGAATTGAGTAATTACAATATATGAATAATTTAGACATTGTCCTCGCTCTGTTCACAACGCTAAATCACAGATTTTCACGTCTTGATACAACGGCTGCATTTCAAGCCGCAACAAGTGCAACTTCAGACCGGGCTCAGCAGAACTCTTTCCAAACATAAAACCCATGTCTTCCACTTCTAAAACTGTATTAAATTCATGCGATTGATAACATACGACGAATTATCTTTCCTATACCATTTATTTGAAGGAGTTTGTTTTGACCGTCGTCGTCGCGTTGCCGTCCTAAAATCGTAAGGTCTCCAATGGCTCCTTAATGGTAGTGGAAGTGAAGTCTGAACTTGATGCATTAATGTGAATGGAAGGGTTTCATTAAGTGTGACAGTGAAGCATATGTTGCTCAACTTTAAAATGAAAGACAGTTATGAGAGTGGCTGAACTATATGTGTTGATCTTGTGTTTGGTGACAAATACATTTAATATAATTTTCGTCGACTACCGTGTGTGGCAGCATATCACAGAATAGAGACCTTAGGGACTGGTCATAAAGTAACTGCTAGGGTGGGCTGGAGGTAAATCACAAATTTTGCCAATAAGTTTAGTGACCCATCTTAGGATGTAGATAAAAATTTCAAAACCCATCTAATCTTACCAAATTTATTTCACGACCCACCCACCCAATCTAAATTGGGAAAATACAATTTTATAATTAGGAAAATTTGCAGGTATGAACATTGTATAAATATACACTGGCACTGTATTGACATACATAATTACACCATGCTTGACCAACACATTCATCACCAATTACGATACTGAGCTGCTCTCCAGTCGGTTGTATTTGCTGTGATTCGACAACTTCTTGTTGTTGTATAAAACAAAGTACTGGCTTCAATAGCATCATTTGCATTTGATAATTTGGATAGTTTTGTTTACTTTTATTATTAATTAATATCTTTATGTAATATATAATTAACATGGGTTTTTGTTTGGTGGCCCAACCGTTGACATACCAAAAAATTGGTGGCCCATCGAAACTGCCCAAAGATTTTCCATGGCCCATCCCAAATCACTCCAGCCCACCCTAGCAGTTATTTTATGACCGGTCCCTTACAGAAGGCTCACATCTTGGTTTTGCGTATGATAAAAAATTCAAAATGGCGGACGTTCAGGAGGATGAATGCCTCTCGTAAGCGCACCATTAAAGCGCACTGACGAATTATGGCACCATTAAAGCGCACTGACGAATTATGGCACCATTAAAGCGCACTGACGAATTATGGCGTGAGAGCGGTTGCGCTTTTTTGGCTGAGTCAACCTTCTGTAACGTCTCTATTCTGTGACCATATAAAACACTAACTGAAGTGTAAAGTGTAGTTCTCGTACATCGCCGACCGTCGCCGATATACGAGAACTAGGCTTAACTCCATGACAGGAACAACGATAGATTCCAGGCACTGAAAAGATTGAATGACTTTGCCTTGTGACTCTGCTTGAAAACGAGGGTGTGTGTATTTATAGAATTATATATAAATATTTTGTAATATAAAAATTTCACATTCAAAAGTAGTGACTGCTCACTCGGTGAGTGTAAGACCCTCAGTATCCACTTCAATTTTGTGCACTTTATATAAATTATTTTGCTGTAAGATAAAGAAAAAAAATAAGTTAAATTAATTTTGTAAATTGTAATTGTGCAGGAGAATAAAATTTAAACAATATGGATTTTTTAGTTTGGTTGTGTTTAAGTTACGTGTAGAAATAGCGGTTTAGCAGCGATTCAGAGCATTAATGTATTAAAATATTAGCTCTCACCTTAGATAGGTTTTGTAAGATTTCTTGTAGCTGTTTGTGTATATTTGGTTGTTTGGTTATGACGAAGAGAAAGCCACCGCCGCCTGCCCCAGCGAAACAGCAACCTAATAGTAGAAAATGAGGTCATGAAAAGGTTCAAAAGGCGCGGAATGGTGGTAAAATACATGTATTTGTGATACTTACCGTGTACATGTGGTGTGATACTGTTAATAATTTTACTTATCTCTTCTGGCTCGCTATCTAAAGACAGGTTAGAATTGAAAGAATGAGATTTTGAAGAGACACACTGCGAGCTTTTGTTGCGAAGAATTTCAACGGTTCGAGCGAAGGCTTTTCGTCTGACAGTTACAGTAGTACGATATTATTCGTTACCTAAACGCCAACCCATCGTTCGAGACTTTGTAGAGACAGTTCTGTAATACAAGATTTAAAGATATTCAAAGAAATTTCTTCACGGAAATGCTCTCAGTTTCACTGGTAAGTTTTCAAACTTGATTTTTTTCTCAACGTGAAATAACATTTTGTCATTCTATTTTCTCAACTTGAAATACTAGTTTGTCATTCTGTTAGTTCAAAAACAAAAGAATTTTATCTTTAATTCTTGCTTTACAGGTAGGCCCTATCCATTATGTTCACGAATATATAAAAGGACAAGCACATTACCACCATGTTGGTAAACTGTGAACCAAAAGGAAGAGCTATCTATGTATTCACTTCTAAAGCAGTAAGAAAAGTGCAAAAGATACAGAGAAACAGAATAGGCCATCCATCATGTTGGAGAAATATGGAGTGGGAAGGATTGTGTATCATTTATCATCACTTTGAAATGAGTAAGAAAACTCGTCAGGTCATAAACAAAGATATGGAAGAACAGAAAAACTACTAACATGTTGGAGTGGGAAGGATTGTGTATCATCACTTTGAAATGAGTAAGAAAACTCGTCAGGTCATAAACAAAGATATGGAAGAACAGAAAAACTACTATCATGTTGGAGTGGGAAGGATCGTGTATCATCACTGTGAAATGAGTAAGAAAACTCGTCAGGTCACAAACAAAGATATGGAAGAACAGAAAGACTACGAAAGACTACTACTACAGAAATTTGGAGTGATATGTCCAATCACGTATCATCACTTTGAAATCATAAACAATGATATAGAGGAACAGAAAGATTACCAAGACTGGTGAAAATGGAAGAAAACCCGTTTCATATTGAAACGAAAGCAGTACGAAAACTGCAAAAACATGAACAAGAAAATACAAACCTGGAGCCATGATCTTTTTCTGTATTCTATAAGTATTCAGGCAAAGAGCCATCTTCTCCAGGTCACCTGTGAACAACGATGTAAGTTCATTCTTTATGTTATATTTCATTTTGCATGCTTGTATCCTATGTTTAATATACAAGAAAAGGTTTGACGATTGACGTAAACAGGTAACACATCTCACGTCATTGATTAGTGTTGTGATGTTTTTGTTGCTAAGCATTTATCATTCTTTCTTTTTAGCATTTGTCACCATTACCTTGTAGCCAAGCGTCAGCACAGGATTCAGCATTGGTTGTAAGGTTCCCCACATTCTCCACGATTTCTGGAGTTCCAGCATGCCAACGTTTGATGACGTTCTAAAGACATTTCATAAAGTTATTAAAAGACAAAGACATCTCCGTGAAGATGAAAGTATAACGCCAACAATGAAGAGAGCAGATGAATGAATTTGATTGTGTTTGAATAACACAATCGAACTCTGATGCCAGCTTGCTTATCAAGAACTCGTAACAGTACCTGTAAAAGATCTTTGGCTAATCTTGTTTTTCCTGTATAAATCAACGCCATATTCGTAGTAACCTTCTGCAAAGTTTCACCGCTGACATCCAAAACTTTAGGAAAAACCTTTATAGCTGTTCCAGGTGGGGACGTGGTGATTTTTACTCCGGGGATTAACCCACCGACTTGGTCCTGCCACCCTCCCCCTGTCGTAAGCATCTGTTCAAGTTCAACTACAAGATGTAACAATTCTTGATTGTCATAGTTACGTGACGTGATCTTCCATATAGCAGCGCACACTACCCCAGCTAAGATACTACTGGTTCCCATGCCAGATCCATGAGGTAGGTATGACCAAGCATGAATTTCAAAACCACAGCCATGTTTTAGTTGTAGTTGTTCTGCTAGCGGTTTGGCTGAGGAGGACAGTTCCACTATCTTTGTGCACAGAAATGCGGTCTTGAGAAGTGCTCCTGGGGGAGATATAAATGCTGCTAAGACTTGGGCAAATTAGGTAACATTTTCTCGAAAGTGGACAAACCAGGAAACTGTTTCCTATAGCCATGTTTCCCGAAGATGCATGGGCAATCCAGGAAACATTGTTTCCTAGTCATGTTTCCTGAAGGAGGACAAACCTGGAAACATTGACAATGGCTATGTTTCCTGAAGGTGGAAAAACCAGAAAACATTGTTTCCTAGTCATGTTTCCCAAGGGTGGACGAACCAGAAAACCTTGTTTCCGAATCAAAAATCACACTTAGGGGAAAAATGTGTTTTTGACTTTGTTTGGGAAACATTTTTGGTTTCTGCATGGGAAGCAAACTTTACAGTGTTTCGCAGTTCGCTGTAGAAATCATCTTCTGTGTTTTATTTTACCTGTTGCGGCTGGATTGCAATAATCTTTCAGATCTTCCAGTGTTGTACACCTCAGAGTTCTTTGTGAATTTGTAATTTTACAACACACAACTAAGACCAACTCTAACCTAAATAAAATCAAATTCTATATCTTTCATATCAAAATTAAAACTATCGTGATGCATACATAATTACGTCTTTAAAATATGAAAGTTACGAACTTAAATTCGAAGATCTTACTCGAGAATTTTGCGAATCTTTGCTCCAATTGGCTTCTATAGAAATACAAATTTAATCATCAGGGCTTTGCCGAGTATACTGTGCTAATCCCAGTCTTGGCCATATGGAAACTGGACAAAAGGTGTTCATAGTAAACGTGAAAGAGTTCGTAACAAACCACGACAGCTTATTGTAGAATACTACCTACACTGGACCACCACGTTTGAGATATCTTTTCCAGGTGGTTCAGACACAAACCATGGCAGCCTATTATAGAATACTACCTACACTGGACCACCACGTTTGAGATATCTTTTCCAGGTGGTTCAGACACAAACCATGGCAGCCTATTGTAGAATACTGCCTACACTGGACCACCACGTTTGAGATATCTTTTTCAGGTAGTTCAGAAAGAAACCACGGCAGCTTATTGTAGAATACTACCTACACTGGACCACCACGTTTTAGATATCTTCATAAGCAAAAATTCAACCTATTATTCATTCTCGCTTACTCGTCCATCAACTTTTACAGCTACGTTGGTCACAACACCTCCATGTTCGTTCGTGATTGGCGGCGTGTCGCTCCATCCTCCTGACAGGTCTATACGAGCTACAAGGTAAATTTTAGTCTTCACTGATTTGAAAGGAACCTTTTAGCTTTGTAACTAAGCTTTGAGAGTGATTGTAAGGTTGTTTACAGTGACTCCTCACTCCACCCCATCCCCCACTCCACCCTCATAAAAAATCGTGATCTGGAACATGACTATTACTGCTGTATCACAGATACGCTCTCCCCAAGGGACGATTAGTGGCAGCAGGTTTTCATTATCACTAACCAGTGCCAAAGGACAAAGGATTAGATCATGATTTTATACAATCCTATAATATGTTGACCGGGGCTTAACTACCCTTCCCCAACCCCACCCCACCCACCCACACTTTTCTTTAGGACCAATATTGTAATTGTTTCAGAACTGAGGAGAAACTGGGTGAGGGTGTAACGTCTTAATGTTTTCATCTATGACATAAAATATACCAAATCTGTGGCTTTCAGATGATCATAAAACATATCTAAAATGCATGAAATCAGCGTTTTACAGACACTAAGAATAGAACAATTTTCCTAGAACCATTCTCCCCCCCCCCCCCCCCCCC